CACAAAGAGGACAATACTAGCACTCATTCTAACCCTAACTATTAAAAAGGATTACTTATAAAAATTGAATTTTTATAAGTCTACTAGTATGTAACCGGTTGCGTAAACAATATATATGATTTCACAGACATGCATTAGGGTGTCTAGCGAAGATAGCCAAATTATGCATATGGCAAATCATAAATTATACGAAATTTAAGTCATTAGCCAAAAAAGAATGACAATTCAGGTAATTACAGACTCACATCCAATCTGGTTTATTCATTTAACCAATCAATTTTTGTTCACATATTGCATTAAAGTAAGTGAATTATATAGTAAAAATCACAAATTATGTGTAGATTATAATTCTGGACACTCTAACATGTATATTCGTAAAACTACATGTCATTTATTATAATAATGATATATAGCAAAAGCAGACTTAGGTATCATCAAGAGAAGACTTGAAATTTTTTTCTAAATAATTACATATTTAAATAGTACAATCAATTCGAATATAACAGTAAAGAACAATAAATATGTGTTATTATCTTTTCATATGAAATTTAAAATGTATACTGCTTAACTTTTCTCAATACATATATATATATATATGTATATTTAATTTTATTTTATTAAATTAGATTTTTTTTGTAGACAAGTACTTTGATAATGGTTAGGTTCATGACAAAACCCACAAACTCTTATTTTTGTAGGCCCTTTACTCTTTTTTGGCTGATAATTTTCTTGTACACCTTTAAGCCATTTCTTGCGTAGAGCTTCTTTTCCAATATGATTTAACAGATTTGCAACTTTTTCAATAGAAATTAGTTGACCATTGTTAGTTTCTATAGCTAAAGCATTTCCTGAACTATAATTTTCTTTATGAATTCGCAATTCTCTTTCTTTAGTTTTCTTTTTACGTTGAAGAGTCTTCTTTTCAATATAATTTTTTAAGAGAATATCTAATTTATTGTCATTTGCATCGCCATTCTGTAATATAACAGCTTGCTTCGCTAGACTCATAGATTTATTATACCGAAGCTTTTTGTCTACAGATCTTTGAATATTATTTTTCTGTATATTATCAATTTGAAGTAAATTTGTGTTTATTTCATTAATTAATTTATGTATAATCAGTACCAATTCAGTATCTCAATTTGATATTAAAAATGGCTCTCAGGCATGTTCAGGTTCAGTTACTTCATCTTTACACCATCGAAGTGGTACTAACATTATATAGAATCTTGCAAATTCCAATTCAAGCATTATACAAAAAAGTGCTGATATACAAGTCTATGACTAACCAATAAAAGGCAAGTACATAGATGTTGTCCACTTTATATAAAACAACATAATGAATCGATTTAGCTGAGGTTAAACATGTGATCTTCCAAACCTCTTGTACATCAGAATATTCATTTTCTTTAATTAAAGATAATAAATATGATTGAGAAACATCATATGAATTCTCTATAAAATCACTATCATACGCAATCTCTTGCAAATTTGATAAATTATCAGCATCCCACATCTATAAAATAAGACCAATTAATCAAAACAACCTGAATAAAAAAAATTAAGCTTAATATAGTTGACGACTTCGGCAAAGTTTCTGTGATCTATGCTACACCATTAACCACATATTCATATGATTATCTTATAGCAGAGATTGCAAATACTTTGTCGAAAATATCACCAATACTAGACTTAATCCAAAAAATGCATTCTCAAATTTACCTACTTTAAATATATATGCACGATATAAAGTAGATTGAACTATTTGCTTTTGCTATTCAATTGCTAAATTTGGTGTCAAATACTTATTTATTTGTTGAACAATTTGTGAATAAACAGTGCTTAAAATAATATAATCATTGTAATTAATTCATTCCTGGGTCCATAAATTAAATCATTGATTAAGATCTTCACGCTCAATACGTTGATATATTGTATTCATAACTTGTAACAATAATGATAAGCTACTTATAGCAGTTTTAATAATATAATTAAGCTCTTCAACCTTCTGGGTTAATTGCAATTCTCCATTAAAAATTTTAAATATATAAGTACATGCTCACGATTCTTTAATTGAAAATAGTTTTTGTAAGTATGAAGACACAGTTGGATATTCATCTATAAGGTTTTTGAATCGCATTTCAAATATACTTTCGCTCAAGCTATTGCGTGCTATATAAAAGTCTTTAATAAAGTTTGCATACTTTTCACCAAATTTGCCTTGAAGGTTTTTTAAAATATTTTGACCAAGATGGTATAAGCAAAATAAGTGCTTTGTATTAGGAAGATCATGAGCCACAACATACTTTATAGAAAGGTCTTTGTCTGTTATTAAAACCTTCGGAAAAATACCAGTCACCTTTTCTAATTGTTCTATAACCCACCGGAAATATTCAATAATTTCATCAGGCATTAAAGCCTATGCAGCAATTCGGTTTTTATTGTGATTATCAATTAGAACAAACAAGCATAAAGAAAAATTGTAATGATTTGTTTGAGCTGTATTGTCCTGAATTATTACATCACAAAATCTAATCCACTTTTCTCTTTGACCTGGGTCCATCCAAAAAACTCTACGAAGATGATTACTAACAGGATCTATTAATGGCTTAATATACCAATTAGGATCTATCTTCTTATATTTATAAAGCTGTGTTAAAAGTCATGATGCATCATTTCCTTCTACACTATGTTCTCACTATAATTGAGGACAATATTAGCAAGATCACATGTTAAAAAAAGTTGATTAGGATATTTGCAGTTATAAGAGACCTTATTGTTAATAGGTCGCATCAGCTATTTATAACTAAGTAACAAATTTCATTATGACAATCATCAGAAAACTGGTGATTTATGGAAGCAAAAATATTGGTGTCTGGTAAAAGCTGATGCTCAGTATGGTGATCATTAAAACTAGTAATACAAACCAGACCTGTTGCTAATGACAAGTTAATTTTCTAATCATAATTAAGTTTTTTAGAACCTTTATTGTGTTGGTTTTGTAAATGGTTTGTTTTTTTTGGCTTGTATACACCACCAAATTCACACTTGTAATATAAATTCATTAAATGTCTATTATTGTCAATTTTATTACGTATCTTAATTGCATGAATCCTTTTTGACAGCTGTATTAAGTAACATAATGCTCAGCAATAGACCAGTTAGAGAAAGTATCATCAATAGCAAATACAATTCTTTTAGTAATGTTAGGTAATATACTATAGATTCTAACCAAATCCTGTCCTTTATAGATTTTATTATCTAACATTTCTGTTAATTCTTGAGGCGCAACAGAGGAATCCAAATTTGAGTCTTGAGGTGCAACAGAGAAATCCAAATCTGAGTCTTGAGGCATAACAGAGGAATCCAAATCTGAGTCCTGAGGCCCCAAGAGTTGTTCTTGATCAGAGGTAAGGTCCAAGAGTTGTTCTTGCTCGGAGGTAAGGTCCAAGAGTTGTTATTGATCAGAGGTAAGGTTCAAGAGTTGTTCTTGATCAGAGGTAAGGTTCATAATTGTTATTAAAATTCAACAAGATCAAAGAAGTACTGAAGTAAAACAGAGAACCCGGAGGAGCAAAAGAGAGTTAAGGCCGAAAAAAATTGTTAAACCTAAAAAATAAAGTAGATAAGTGTTTAGAACGTTGATCATAACCACTACTATTCATACCACTATTACAATAGCAAAACCCACTCAACAAATGAAAAATAGGCCAGAATAATGAGCCAAAGATAATTAAGGCCAAAAAAAATTGTTGACACCTAAACAGTAAAGTAGATAAGTGTTTATAAATTGATCATAATCCTACTCAGCTAACATAATTGCAAGATTCATACTACTATTACAATGACAAAAACCACCTGACAAGCAAAAACAGACTAGAAAAAGAAGCCAAAGATAATTAAGGCCGAAAAAAAATGTTAACATCTAAAGTAAAGTAGGTAAATGTTCAGAAAGTCGATCACAA